TTGGCCGTCGCTGACTAAATCGCTGCAATAGAATCGACTGAACAAAATTTGCCGAGACAAAAAGATCAAGTTCTTTGCTGCCCAGACATTCGGAATATTTGGATACATATTCGCTGATCTTCAGCATCACGAATATATCGAGTGAGTAAAATTAATCTTATATAGCTGCCCTCCGTTCTCACTTTCCGCGTCTTTGTTCTGTATTCTACCGGTTCCGCATCAAATATGAAAGAGAAATAAGTATACCAGCTGCAAAGCGTGGGCAAGATCCCGAGATCAAGCGAACGAAGAAGTCACAAGAATTTGTTCCGCTTGAAATGGCCCTAAAGAAATCGTGGACCGTAGATACATCCAAACCGCGATGGTTGAAAAAATTGAAAATGCAGGTGCACCCTGCTGTATTTGCTGTTTTGGGTACGTCTAAATTAATCTGATCTCTACATTTTTTTTGTCAGTTCTTTACTCCTTTACACAGTGATGGAGGTACTAATAAAGATAATAATTTGCCAGCAACTATGAAATTTCAAAATAAATATAAAAAATTACCATCCCCCACCGACTCTACGGATTATAAAACCTTGAAGAATCTACTCACAGAAGTGTTAACCAATGCGAAAGTGCCGACAGAGTACGTAGATGAAGAAGTGCTAAAGTAAGTCGATAATCTGTTAATCCCATTCTTCTTACCTCGGTGTTAATACTTTCCCGCAGATCAATCTACAATACAGCACCCTATGAAATATCCCCGGTTTGTGCTATCGTCGGTGGATTTATAGCGCAGGAAGTATTAAAAACGTTAAGTGGGAAAGGTCGTCCAATTTATAATATGTTCGTATACAGTGGAGACGATGGTGCAGGTGTCGTTGTTGAGATGGTGTAGAATTTTCAGGATTGGTTGTACCTTCAGTGCTATGATAACTCTATGATATTGTGTGACGATGCAGAAATAAATTGTTATCATCAACTAGCCAGATCACAGATGAATTTGGTTGCAAAATCAATGGTGAATATATACGTACAATTTTGATTCATTGACGCTGGATTTAATGAAGTGATTGCATGATATAATACAAAGTCATCGGATCACCACGCAAAGTACATAAGCATTACAAAACAAATATCTTATCATCATGAAATCATACATGCGACTACTATTGAGCTACTTTGTTTCTGTTTTACACGATTTGAAAAGGTACCGTTACATGATAATACACTTAAACAAGGCAACGAATTATTTTTCTAAAATTGTCTATTCATGGATGATTTTGAGTTTCATGGCGTATATCGCAATAATTCGAACTTTATGTGCTATGTGAATTGTCAACAACCAGCGCACCGAAACATATGTGTGGTTAGATTTTGTTAAAATCGATACTTCTTTCTCTGTCCACTATCTCCATCCATTTCGTTACCCATGTTGTTTGGGTTGGCAGTTACATAATCTCCAGCATTTTGATCTCCATTATTTTCACCATGATTATCGCCACACTGATATGATCGTTTCAATGATGTGGATTGAGACGAAGTAGGTGGATTTGACGAGTACATATGGGAAGATGAAACCGGGGTAGACGATCCGAAAGAGTAAGGATTTGAGGAGCTTGCGCGTGAAGATTCATTCGGGGTAGAAGAACTGGAAAACCACGGATTTGACGTGTAGTCCGGGTTAATGCAGCGTTCACATTGATGGTTTTGGTCGTCGTCTTCGTCTTCGTCTAATTCATCTTCCTCTTCTTGTTGATTCTCGTAAAGATCCTCGTCGTATCGTTCCGGTTCTTCAATGATTTCTTCTTCCTCTTCGTCATCGTCGCTTTCTTCATTCTCAATATCTATTTCAACGTCATCCTCCGCTTCCTCTTCTTTGGGTTTAAGACTCTTTTTCTTGGGGATAATGCTTCCGTCACCCCGCTCGTTAAATAAATCCCAATCCAAAGACTCAAGTTCTATTTCGGGCTCCTCGTCACTGTCAACATATTTCTTATCATTGCCGAGAACTTTCGGGGGCAGATCAGATGGACGGACCACGTTGTGATCACTAGACACTATAAATGGATTGTCGTCATCTATAGGATTCCTCAGTTTACTCATACTTCCTAATCCCGTGTAACTGGACTGTCGGGTACGACCGCCAGCGCCGCTAATGCCACTGCCGGGAATACTGTTATTACCGGTCAATGTGGGATTTCGAATATCATAGCGCCGAGCAGCCGGTGATTTAAAGGTTGTAGGTATTTCCACACCAAGTGGCGAAGGAGCAGTGGATTGAGAAAGAGAGGTTAATGTCGGCGACAGCTTCTTGAGGGCGAGACGAAACGCTTTTTGAACTTGATGAGACTATTGGGGTGAAAATTGGTAAAACCATAGACCATTCAGTAAGGCATCGCATATTGTACAGTCTGTAACAGGATTAGGGAATGGCTACCTTCGATACATCTGTGGTGAAAACCCTGATATAGCATTGCTCTAACTTGCGCGGTTGCACCAAATTAAGGTCATCAATTTTCAGTGTGTATGACTCTGCAGAATATGTCATTTTCATTAGTATTTCTATGTCATTTCAATTTTGACGTGATTTGATGGGTAAACGAGAATAAGTAATACCTTTTACATTGAGCCTCTGATACCACTTGACAGATTCCATCGGATTTCGGGAACCCAAACCATAACCTAACGTGGAGAATTCGATCCGTATATCTTCGGGCTGAATCAATGAATGCGGATTAGTATAAAGATTTTGAAATGTCTGGAAGGGAAGATTACAGTTCAATTACCGATATTTTGTTACCCCAGTTATGGTAATCCATATTCCAAGCATCAGTAACAGTCTCGGCAGTTAACCGTTTCTATATTATATAAGATCAAATCTAGTAAACAGAAAGCCGTATGCTATCTAGAGTTAAGAATCGTTTACCTTCCATTCCAATTTATCGGATTTTTCGATAGTACATTCATCCACCATTTTGTACAATTGCCTATTGGCAAGTCTGGTAAGAATACCACGAGCCTGGGCGAGCTCCTGTGCAACCCATAAGTATTGCTTCGATAACCTTGAACAATTTAATTTACGTACGGGACCAATGCTTCGCTCAATTTGACCAAGTATATCATCTGTAAGATGAAGGTACCGTTCTCTATCGTCAATCATATCCGACATCTTCATCACGGGATCAGCTGCGACGAGTGCGTCTGTTATCATGCATTCGATTGCTTGACCTGATGAAGAGCAACTATAAGGATGAAACAAGAAAAAGAGCAACTGTAAAAGGGGGAGAAGAGTCGTACTTTTTCGATGGCGATATATTCGCTTCATTAATGAATACCGGGTATTGAACATTTCATTCACGTTATCCAATTCCTTGATGTTGTAGCATATGTCATCGCCTATCACACGGCAGTTCCACATTAACCTAAATAATGAGTCAAGGGATGTTTGATTAATCTCCCAAGTCAATCAAGACTGACTCGAACTGATAAGGCTACCTTTCAAAATCGTAAGAACTTTTGATACCAAGATTGTAACAATCCCTCTGCAGATAATCGAATCGGTCCACGTCGATACCACAGGACTTATTGGCAACAATTTGATACAGATACTTCTTTCTTCCAGAAGGGCTAAAAGAAGGAACAGCAAATGAAGTCAACGGTCATCCCCTTAATGTGTGATGATTCAGGAGCAATCAAGAACATTACATTTCATGGGGAACACGACCCATTATTAAATCTTTAATCAGATCAACCTGATACGAATCTAAATCAATGCTGTTTTCATCTATTAAATAGTCAAGCATCATGTTGCTTGCGACTTCATGCGACCAGTTACTTTCTGGACGAACTCGCGGAATAAAACATCCATCAAACAAGTGAGAAAATGGTCCATGACCTAAATCATTAAGGGTAGTAGTTAGAAATTATGCGAGTCCAAAGATGAGAAAAACACTGTTACCTAAATCGTGACATAGTCCAGCTATTCGAACACATTCCACTTCCTCGTCGGTAATCTTCAGGTACGGTTGATTCGACCTTATCCTTTCTATCAACGTTCCAGCTAAATGACCAACACCTGCACAGAAGAAAACATATCAAGACACCCATTAGTTCATTTTCGATTGTCGTTTCCATTTATATATATATGAATTGTCTATTCGGCAAAGAAAAACAAACATTGAACTGACCTATCGAATGTTCAAATCTGTTATGGCCGCCTCCTGGAAAGACGTAGTATGTAACTCCAAGTTGTTTTAAATGCCTCAGTCGCTGAAATTGAGGAGTATCGATAATATCCCAGCATTTGTTATCCAGTCGAATGGTGGAATGTATCGGATCGTGAACTCTCCTTTCGAGATCATAACCATGACCAAAATCGTCGTTGATGTCCATTGAAGCTGCGAGCATTAATGTAGGAAAAGAGTCGACCTGCTGCAAGTATTTCTCAAAGACGACAATAAGGAATGAAGGGGTGTTGATGAATACGTTTGTGATATGTATCGGTATCCCGCCAAAAAGTAATAAGCCTTGGAAAACACGATTCACGAGAATTTCAAGCACAGTAATTCAGGGCAGTAATTCTTTTGAAAATTCTATCAGTACAAAGTAAATCAATTAAATGATGAATCGCCCATATATTTATGAAGTATTTGTCTTGCTCCTCGACATTGTATTGACCAGCAAACATAGAGCAATACAGATTTGGTGAAAGTAATTAAATGAGATCGAACATCCGTATGATTATTCAAAATGCCATTATTTGATTATAGAGTCCCAAAAGAAATAGCTTTTTATGGGTTCGCAATTATCAATTTGGTATTACATATATGCCGAATCCTGGAGGGTAATAATTGTACGCAGGATTCATAAGTCGAAATTCAATTTACTATCATTGAGAGTCCGCCGCAGGAACTGTTAAGACTACAGTGATAGCCACTGTCTGATAGAAATGGAGATGATGATACCAAGCATGCAGTTCGCAAAAAAGATTCCGTTGATATGCAAAAGCTGCAAAACGAGCATGACAGGACTCGAACCTGCAATCTTTAGATCCGAAGTCTAACGTGTTATCCATTACACTACATGCCCCTGCTAGGCAAGCCACACATAGTAAAAATATTACCCACTTGCAAACTGAGTCGGCGGCCGCCACACCTTATGTCTGCATCTCATACGAGCAATTTTGTTGCTCAGAGCTCATAAGCCAAGGGCATTAATACTAATGATTGCTGGTGGCACTCAGAAAAACTATAGAGAGAATTTTCTTTGTAGAACAAAAGTTTGGGCCATATACGGGTATCGTTTTTTCGAATCTCAGAGTATTTATACCGTAAAATTCAGGAGAACCGTTGGCGTAAGGTTTGTAGAAATACCGACACAAACAGTTTGATAAACTTAATCCCGCTGCATCATATAACAACTATTGCGACTCTTTATTGTGCGCACCGATTTACACTTGAAAGCGTTCGATTCTGACTTTTAGAAATGCATTCGTTTGAAACTGATAATCTCTCAGAAGGGCCAAAGAAAGATCTGCAATTATAGCAAAGACTGAAAGGTCATGGCATCCTGAAACTCTTTTATACCGCCCGCAGTCTGCCGGCTCATTGCCACAACTCGTTACATAAAAGGTCAACTATATCGTTGCAGAAGCCTGCTCGACCATCGGCAGCGAGCATAAATCAGCTTGAATCTCCTGAAACGATTGTTTAATGTTTTGGTGTGGCAATTGCCCAATTGTGACGAGTAAGAAAACAGTGAGGACACCCATGGGCACCCTGCAATACATGCGGGCGGCCTTAAGGTCAGAAATAGTCGCCCCTGAGACGGCAGTCCTATTGACTCAATCATGGTTGTACGGTTGAATCATCGCTGTCATATTAAGCGTACGGGATATTACAATACGGAGATGACAGGCGGCAGACAATGGTGCTTCATCATAACAATTACGCGCGCCATCCAATCAATCCCGCTCTTGTATTATCTCCGACCCATCGGTAATTGGAAGGATTTATTTGATCAAATGCTAACCGGAAACCCGCAAAAACTCTGATTAGCACTATTGCAATTTCTGAGTCTGGCGAGTGTGCGCTGAAGGCCAAAGAACATGGACCCGGAATCGATTCCTTCCTGGCTCGCCGTCTTCGGTATAGAATTGATCGTGGCCACGGCTTTCGGTCTATTCGGAATATACATTTACGTCCAGACGCCCAAAGCCAGTCGATGGAAAGCATCTTTCAACCTTGCGATGGCTCTTCTTGTGTGTGCCCTGGGTTATAATTCTGTGGTAATTCGGAGAGACGTATCAAAGTTTATCGGTAGAAAGGACCACCAGCTGTTCGCTGTTAGTATTCCCGGTTCAATCGTGCATTACCTGACGATCACTATCGGTGAAATTTCTCTTTGGTTTTCACTCTACCGACTTCATCGACGAAAAAAATCGAAACGCACGGTTTTTTTTGTTGCCTTTTCCGTCTTAGTGAGAGCAGTCAGTCATGCTATATTAGTGGTTTTTGTCATTTTGGGTGACTACGAAGCGAACAAGCCAAAATATTATCAGGGTGTTAAAATATCAGGCATTATGGTCGGAGCAACAGTTTCTTTTAACAGTGTCGGATTGAGTTTCCTTTTTTTATGGCACTACTCGTCGAAACTTCGCTACGCTATATTAAACCGAAAGTTCCTCCAAGTCCTGGGTCGCATAACGATGCAACATGCTTTACTGCCAACAATATTTGTACTTCCCTCAGCCGCACTATTTATTCGTCAAAGAGCCTCGGAAAACGAAGAGATAAAACGTCTTGATTTCACTATTATCCATCAGATATTTTTCTTTTCGTTTTCCATTTCTGTTGCTTATGCAATGTATCTTCTGAATTTGGGACCTCTCCATTATCACCTGGGGCTCCTTTCAAAGCAGGCACAATTCAGTGCAGGGGAAATTGTCCAAGCTTTTCGTCATGAAAAGAAAGAAGAGGCGATAGTAGAAAGATATCTGAGGGAATCTTATTTGAGGGTAGGAGGTGTCTGCGGGTGTATTTTCGATTACTCGGACGACGAGTTCAAACCTTCCTGTACCTTTCACTTGGACGGGGACACCGAAGAAGTAGAAGTCTCTTTTCGACCAACGATGATAGGATACCGTCCTATTTCGCTACTTAAGCGAGCTTTGCTCAGGAACGAAACAGTCGTTGAAGGCATCGAGAATTTAGACGACATATCGGAGCTGCGCCCTCAAAAATTCAATAGTAGATCTTATATATGCGTGCCCGTGCGATCGGCATTTGGGAAAGCCTTCATCTGTATATCAAGGTATTATATTAACAAGCATGTATATGTTTCTGGAGCACTTTACTGATGTTGACGAATTCTGTAGTACGAGAGATGTGTTCGTAGACACAATTACAGCGATGGATATTTATATTCTGGAGTTGTTGTCACAGCAACTCGTAGTATCCCTAGAGAACTGCCGGTAATTAATAGTTCCGTTTCTTACTTTATCCATGGTTAGCGGGAATAACCGACAATCTGCGATATTAGTTTATTTAACGACTTAGCGAACATGAATCAGGAGTTAGACATGAAGGTAGCAGATAGAACAGAAGAGCTCGAGAAGCAGAAAATGGAATTGCAGGAAGCGAAATTAAAGGCAGAAGAATCAGCGCGAGCCAAGTCCATATTTCTAGCCAACATGAGCCACGAAGGTAACAGCGGGGTGTTTCCGTTAATGCGCACGGATTGCACACTAAAGTTTTTCAATCAGTTCGAACCCCGGCTTCTCAAATTATATCGGCTGCTGAGTTATTATCAGGCACAACGCTAACTGTCGAGCAGAACGGGTTCCTCGATATCGTTATCTCATCCGGAAAATTATTACTGAATCTGTTGGTTTGTACATTAAATTGCTTAAAACCGTGGGTCATAAAAATCATGTGATTAATGATATTGCTATCCAGAATGATATTCTCGATGTTTCGAAATTGGATTCCCAAAAGCTTCAATTGGAGTATGCTCCATTCAACCTTCGGCAGCTGATTAAAGCAACCGTAGAAGCATTCACCGTATCGAGGCCGCTTTATTTGGCGTACTCTATCGACAAAAAGCTTCCCGACATTTTAACTGGGGATGGTAATCTCTTAATTTTGCTTTTCTGACTCGTGGTATATATGATCTCACAAGTATTGATATTTGTCAGCATTGCGGCTGCAACAAATCTTTACGAATCTTATTTCGAATGCTTTAAAGTTTACTACAAAGGGTTATGTATTGCTCGAAGCAAAAATGGTTACACTCCAAAGCGACTTTGATGGCGAGATCAATGAAATCGAATTTTCGGTTACTGGTATGTTTAAGGATATTGTGCTTGAAATCAAATCGCTGTCTCACGAATTTTGTTAGACACTGGAGCTGGAATATCGAAAGAAAAGCTGAACGTGATTTTCCAACGGTTCGAACAAGAGAACACATCTATCAGTCGTCTTCATGGAGGAACAGGTGAGACGCAACATATTGTTGTCGATTATTCATCCTTTAACTACTGAAATCTGACATTCAATGTCTATTCTCATAACAAAAGGCCTTGGTTTGTCGATTTCTCAAGGTATATTGTTGTTATTAGTTGATTATATCGGTTTGCCCCCAGTTAATAGCGAGTTTTTGTTGATAGATTTATGTGGTCTGATGGGTTCAAGACTCCATGCAGAATCAGACGTTGGCGTGGGATCCAAATTTTACTTTACAGTACGGTTGCGGTGGCCGCAGAATTCGGCCAAAGTAGAGCAATCCCGGCAACTGGATGATCCCAAACAGAAACTCTTGCTCCTGCTCGCGAACCCGACAGAATACTCTACAAAGTCATCCAAACCACTTCTTCAAGTGCAATTGGATAATTGTGGGATAGTCGACATAACCAGCCGGAATTGCACATCGGCTGAACTGCAAGAAATATCAGACACATCACAGGATTCGTTTGATATGATGGTGTTGGATCTTTTATCCGCTCCTAAGGAACTGTCATTTTATATTACCCACATTCATCGTCTCCGCATACCAGTTATAATAATTTGCGACACCGACCAACATGCGGAGCTTCCGCAAAACTTTGAATCGAATTCAGTTCATGTTTTGCGTCATCCTTACAAACAAAGTGTTCTGGAACAACTGGTGCTGAATCATCGAAAAAACGACATCCGAAAAATCACCACGAATGGCGTGATGGCAAATGTTAATGTCAATTATCATGTCGACAACATAAAAATCCTGTTAGCTGAAGATAATCCGTATGTTGATTTTTATATTTCTCGCGTCACCGTTGTAAGAGAAGAGTGACTAATTTCCGTCCTTTTCTTCCTATTTTCAATCCTTCCAATCAACCGCAGCGTGAACCGTAAAGTGATGACTGAAATGTTCCGGAGGCTAGGGCACAGTATCGATGTCGCGATGAATGGTGTCGAGGCCACTGAAATGGCTGCATTGACAAACTACGACGTAATTTTTATGGATGTGAGGTAATTGAAAAGAAACTCTCCGGTTGCAGTCTTTATTCCGTAACATTTACAATTGTCCCACTCTTAGAATGCCGATCATGTCTGGTTTGGAGGCCACGAAAAAGATAATTGCCCATAATGAAAGCAGGGTCGATTGGAAGAAGCCTATCATTATCGGACTTTCTGCGGACGCATTACAGGAAAACCGTGAAGATGGGTTAAAAGCAGGCATGGACGAGTATCTGTCGAAACCTGTTTCAAAGGACTCATTGGTGAATATTATAAACAAATTGTGTGGATAAGTCTGGAGTCGCCGTAATTTTGCATTTTGATCCTACAAGCGGTAAATCTAGATGGGCGAGCGTATTATTTCGGCTGTTATGGTCGGTTTAATTTAATGTATATAGAATATTATGGAGGGTGTTGTAAGCGCCGTTCGCGAAATAACTTATGAAAGAAAAAATCTGAGATTTTGATCGTGTAAGACAATCAAGTTGTACCTCCACCCTGGTTCAGGGTGTGATGGGATTTTTGTTTGTTCGTCAAAGAGGTACAAATCAACCATTCAAAGATTTAGATCTGACGTTTGTCTACTGTTTGTCA